AAACACCCGCTCCTTAGGCAGGGAGTCAAGAATAGTCTTCTAATTTTATTTCAATGCCCTGTTGCATCAATACTTTGCCTTTCCTCTCAGTAAAATTTCCTCATTGCAGAACTTTTTAACTGACAAGGAAATCAGACATGGAATGGGAGAAGTATGGAGATTCTTCTCTTATCACTAGGCATCTTATCGACCTGTCAGGAACCAAAATTTCAGAGGTAAATTACCCTGGTTGTACGGACCAAAAATATTGGGTCGTCAAAAAAGTCACAATGCATTTTGCATAGAAAAGTAAGTTATGACTTTTCCAAAGATCCAATAGTATTGCATTTCAGAAGTGGGCACAGATAATTAGCTTTCAGGAAAATTTTTTTATTCTAGTGAAGAGGAATTATAGAATTCTGGATTGTACTGTGGTTTATAGCCAGTTGTGTGGCATCTCTTCTGAAGCTCCTGGACAGATTTGGGCCATAGTCTGCCAGACCCTTACCCAGAATCCCTAAGACCAAAAAGCCTGCTTCATGGCTAAGGGATAACATCAAATACCTTTGAGATTCAAGTCTTTGAGATTCAAATCTTGTCCCAGATGATGGCTGGGTTCCTAAATTGAGAGTATTTTGAAAGCTTAAAAAAGCCCAGTCTGGGATGTGCAGTCCTGATGAGCTCTTGGAAAACTCCCAGCTGCCATTCAGCTAAGAAAGCCATTGCTGATGATTAGGCAGACCCCTTCACTAGAAACTCTGCTTTAGAATCACTGACCCATCTGGTGCCTGAGGTTCACACAGGGTCATGGGAATTGGCTGGAGCCATCTGAGTCCCAAACTTTGCCAAGTCAAGGCAGAATTGGTGATGCCCAGCAGCAAGAGATGAGAAAGGTTTCAAGAAAGTCTTCTCAGGAACCAGCAGTTAGCGTAATGGCTATGTCACTGGACTCCCACATAGTCTACCGCTGTTCACGTCCCGGACCCAGTGGCTTAAAACTCATGCCGGATGCGCGTGCGTGAGTGCCCAAAATCCCAAGAGGAGAATGGAGGAGAAGGGATTGCGGCGTGACTATCCCCCCTGGGGGGTGATTTCTCGCTTTCTGTCTGTATGTCTCTCTCTGTCTGGCAAGCGCATGCGCCCTATAGTGAAAAAAAACTCTCCAAAAAAAAAAGAAAGTCTTCTCTCCATATGTTCTGAATTCTTCCATTCAACAAACAGGTAGATACTGAGAAGGCAAATTTAGGACCCTCAGAAGAGGAGTTTTTGTTTTGTTTTGTTTTGGGTTTTTTTTGGTTTTGCTTTGTGTGTGTGTGTGTGTGTGTGTGTGTGTGCCTTTTTTTTTTCTTTTTTCTATAGGGCACACACACTCACTGGAGAGAGAGAGACAGAAAGCAAGAAACCACTCCTCAAGGGGAATGGCCATGTTATAATCCCTTCTCCTCCATTCTCCTCTCAGGATTTTGGGAATGCACACACACTTGCCCGGCATGAGTTTTATGCCATTGGGTCCAGGACTCAGACCTCAGTCAACTACATGGGAGTCCAGCGACATAAGTGCTACACCATAAACTGATCCCAAGAAGAGGAGCTCTAAAAACAATGATTGCAGCCCAACCTCAGAGGATGCTGATAGACAGATGTACACCATGCCCAAAAACATGAGGAAGGGGTGATGAACCCTGTGTGTCTCAAAAGCAACAAGTAACTGAGGCCAGCAGGTGGTGTGGTGGTTAAAGTGCTGGATTCCCATATGGCTGATCGTGGTTTGAGTCTCAGACCCAGTAGCTTGAAAATCACACTGGACACATGTGCATGCATGACCAAAATCCCAAAGGAAGAATGGAAAAGGAATTGTGACATGGCTGTCCCTCATGGGGAATAATTTTTCACTTTCCCTCTCTCTATCTCTGTCAAGTACACATGTCCTATGGAAAAAAATTAAAAACAAACAAACAAACAAACAAAAAACCAGAAACAGGTAGTGACTGTGCTAAGACTTGAAGATTGAATAGGAGTTTGCCAGTGTGATCAAGAAGTGTTCCAAATAAAGGGATATGCAAAAAGGCCAAGAGAGTGGAATTGAAAAGATCTGCTTGTGATGAGCAGTGTGCCCGCCTCTCCACCTCACCCTTCCTCATGTCCCCAGTTCCTTGCCCCCTCCTCTATGGGCTCTGTAGCGCTGCCACAGGAAACTCCTGGCTCTTCCCCAAACGCAGCCTGCCCTGGTGTACTTTACTGTCTTATAGTGAGTGTCCTGATTAAAGAACATTCCCTCTTCAGAGCCTGCACAAAGTAAATCTTTTTTATTCTTTTTAAAATTTTTTTAAAGACAGGATCTCACTGATCCTCTTCCTTCACTCCTCTGAGCCACTGGGATTACAGGTGCATACCACTGCACCTGGCCTCTGGACCTGGGAACTGAACACAAACTTTCCACATGGTTTCAGCCTATACAACGTAGTGTCTTACCAGGTGCTACTGTGGATGGACCCCACTCTCTTTTTTTGTTCCAAAAGCACATTCCTGAACTGCAGTACCTATCATGACATATACATTTTAATTCATCTCTATTCCTTGCTGGACAGTGTACTCCCAGAACCCCCAGAAACGAAGGGCTTGCTCCATGGCTAAGTGATAACATCAAAGCCCTTCAAGATTCAAGTCTTTGAGATTTGAATCTTGTCCAAGAGATTTTTCTTGGCTAGAGAAAAAAAAGATCATTTGTTATACTTTCTACACCTTGGACAGCTACAGTAGTGCTGAGCAATGTTATTTTTGCTACTTAATGAGACATACAGATCCAGCATCAGTGATGCAAGTGGGAGGGTACCACTGTGTGATGCTGGGGCCACGTGGGAGGCCAGGTTCAGCTCTCAGACAGTCTAATAGGCCAAGTGTGATGGCGAGTGCCTATAATACTAGCTAACTGGGAGGCTGGAGCAGGAGGGTCCCAACATGGCAAGATACTGCCCGGATACCTAACACTTTCTCCCACCCACTCCCTAAAAATTCCGCAGTGTAATTCCTCTGCTGCTGGTTATGCCAAATACTATCTCAAATTAGCCAAAGCAGGGTCAAAGGTTGGCCCATGAAAATATAATTACAAGGAATATCTCACATGTGGAAGGATATATATATATAATATATATATCCATGTGTGTGTGTGTGTGTGTGTGTGTGTGTGTGTGTGTCTGTGTGTGTGTGTATATATAGGTGTGTGTATATATATGTGTGTATATATGTGCATATATATGTGTATGTGTATATATGTGTGTGTAAATATATACAGTTACATATATCTGTATGTGTGTGTATATATATGTTTGTGTGTATATATATTTCCTTTGGTGAGAGAAGGAGAGAAAGAGACAGAGATAAGTATTTTTGATAGGGTCTCGCCATGCCAGGGCCCTCCTGCTCCAGCCTCCCAATTCACTAGGATTACAATCATGCCTGTTGTGTTCAGGAAACTAACCTGGCCTCGCATGTGGCAACCAGCCTCCCAAGTGGTGGCACCATCTGTATACCAATTAAAATAAATTTTTAGATTTCACAAAAAGTACTTTCAGAATTTTTCCTAGAACTGAAGGTGTAGATTAACTTGGGGAAAGTGAGACATCCTTACGATACGAAGTTTTTGTTTGACCATAACCTCTCATCACTTCTGCGTTGAAGAAACATATCACTTATGGTATTAGATGGAGAAAAGACATTGTCCTCATAGAGATGGAAAGCACTTAACCAGAATGAGAATTCTTAGAAATATTGTAGTACAAAAAGGAGGGGAAATAATCCTCCTAAATATAAAGTAGTTTAAAACAAATTAAAAAAAAAAACTGCCTAGACATTAGCATTGTAAAATGAGTGCATAAAAACTAAAAGTAATCAGAAACTAGTTGAAAATATTTGCAGTATAAAATATCAGAGAGAAGGAGTAAACACTAACCTCAACAATTATTAGAATGGCGAGCAAAAATGCAGAACTCGGTGGAAACAGATCCTTTGAGAAAGGGGGAGGCATCACAGGACAGAAAAAACGAACATAAGGTCACTGTGACCTCGTAAAACACTTATAAGCTAAATTGAAGCAACAATAAATAGTATCAGTGAAACAGAAGTCTAACATAAAGATGAAGAAGCTCCTTTCCAAATCCATAATTCTACAACTCCATAGAACACAGAGAAACAAGTTGCCTTCTTTTTCAGTAAGATTCCTTTTCTTTTTTAAAAAGAATTATTTAATTTTATTTATTTATTTTAATTTGACCAGGGTGGCGGGGAGTAGAGAAAGAGAGGAGAGAGAGAGAGGAAGTAAGCCACCAGGTCCGGGACTTGAACTGTGGTTGACCACGTGGAAGTCTAGCACCCTTAACCACCACACCACCTGCTGGCCCCAATATCCCTTTTCAATATTCCTTTTCAATGAGAAGCTGAATAGTTGTTCTTTTGTTTATTCATATGACTAATTACAGTAGATTTTCTCAAATGTTGAACTATCAGTACCTTCCTGAAACAAACTCCACCGATTAGTTATTATTCTTTTGCAATAGTTTTACTAACATTTTATTTAGAAATCTTGCACCTATATTTGTAAATGGAATTAGGTTCTTTGCGGGGGGGGGGGGGGGGGGGTGTGTGATCTGTGTGTGCTCATTTCATTTAAATAAATTGGAATATTTTTCTCCCCCAGTTAGAGAAATAGCTTAAACAGCATAAAAATAACTGCTTCTTAAAGATGTGAACTAACTTGTGACTTTCTTTGGGCCTGAGGCGTCTTTCTGTTTCTGTGTGTAAGTGTGCAGAGTGAGAGTGGGAACACTGGGAAGACGAGTGGGGAAGTTCTCGAACAAAATTGTTAAGAACTCTAGTCTTTCAAATAATTTTCAAAGTTACCAAAACTTAAGATAATGAACCTAGTTAATGGATAGGACAGGTGTAAAATAGAATGGAGAAAGAAATGATTCAAGATGAAGACAAATGAACACAGAGTCAATCAACCTCTGCTTTTGTTTTCCTAGATCGGGAAGTGTGCTGCACCACTGGAATGAAATCTATTACTTTGTGGAGCAGCTGGCTCATAAATTCATCAGGTGAGCAACACTACACGGTTACTTCACTTGTAGTTCTCTGCCATGAACAAAACCAGCCCAGGTTGGCTGTTGCACTAGTTACTAATCACTCTGGGGAAGCTTTTGACAAAGGTGGACTCTTAGATCTTGGACCAGAAATTATTTACTTTGTTTTAATCTTTGCCACATACTAAAGTAACTTTTGGCTTCATGTTTTCGGGAGGAGCCAGATTTAGTTACCAGACCAACATTTTTTAACATTCTCTCTCCCTTGTTGAGACATATATTCTTGTGAAGGAGCATTAACATTTTTCTTGCGTGGTGCATCAGGCTGGGTTAATTGGCACATTCTGCTGACTCTCTGGACTCACATGCAGGGTGGCCAGTTCATTCTGGTTTGTCCAGAACTTTTCCAGTTTTCAAACTGACTATCTTACATTCTGGAAACTCTCCTCAGTGCTGAGCAAACTGTGATGGGGCACCTAGCTAGGTCACCGACAGAATCTTCTGAGCATTCTTAATCTTACATACCCAGGCAAGGCAATGCAGTTATAAAACATCGTCACTAAATACTGTGGGCGTCCTGGAGGTCCTACTTTTCAGTAAGTACAGGTGCATACTAGTAGGGA